GTGGCGGTTAGTATGTGTTCCCAGAGCGCCAGACCCCACGCAGCCTCGTGCACGTTGGCATCACAGCGGGACTTTGTAGGGAGAAGTGGGCTTGGGCTGTGCTGAGAGCCAGGCTCTCTGGAACTTTGCAGCAGGGCTCTGTGGACAAATCAGCTGAGGGAGGCTGCCTCCCAGTCCTGGAGACGTGGAGGCTCGGGAAACACTTGTCCATCTCCTCGGTGACTTTTTACATCCTCCTACAGTGTGTGTTGTCCTGCTGACAAGGCCTCTGATGGTTTTGTGATTTCAGTACAGATGCTGGCCTACCCTCACAGTCTGCATTGCACGGATGGGCCCTCAGTTATGTTACAGTCATCCTAGGTCACGTGTGCTTGTCTCCACCTGTACCCTCGATTATGTGACCGTTGTCCTAGGTCACATGTGCTTGTCTCTGCCTATACCCTCAGTTATCTGACAGTCCTCCTAGGTCACGTGTGCTTGTCTCTGCCTGCACCCTAAGTTATGTGACTGTTGTCCTAGGTCATGTGTGCTTGTCTCTGCCTGTACCCTCAGTTATGTGACCATCGTCCTAGGTCACATGTGCTTGTCTCCGCCTGTACCCTCAGTTATCTGACAGTCCTCCTAGATCACTTGTGCTTGTCTCCGCCTGTACCCTCAATTGTCTGACAGTCCTCCTTGGTCACTTGTGCTTGTCTCTGCCTATACCCTCAGTTATGTGACCATCGTCCTAGGTCACATGTGCTTGCCTCCGCCTGTACCCTCAGTTATCTGACAGTCCTCCTAGGTCACTTTGTGCTTGTCTCCGCCTGTACCCTCAATTGTCTGACAGTCCTCCTTGGTCACTTGTGCTTTTCTCTGCCTGTATCCTCAGTTATGTGGCTGTTGTACTAGGTCACTTTTGCTTGTCTCCGCCTGTACCCTCAGTTATCTGACAGTCCTCCTAGGTCATGTGTGCTTGTCTCCACCTGTACGCTCAGTTATGTGACTGTCGTCCTAGGTCACTTGTGCTTGTCTCCGCCTGTACCCTCAGTTATCTGACAGTGCTCCTAGGTCACATGTGCTTGTCTCTGCCTGTACACTCAGTTATGTGACTGTCGTCCTAGGTCACTTGTGCTTGTCTCCGCTTGTATCCTCAGTTATCTGACAGTCCTCCTAGGTCACGTGTGCTTGTCTCTGCCTGTGCCCTCAGTTATGTGACTGTCGTCCTAGGTCACTTGTGCTTGTCTCCGCCTGTGCCCTCAGTTATGTGACTGTTGTCCTAGGTCACTTGTGCTTGTCTCCACCTGTACCCTCAGTTATCTGACCATCCTCCTAGGTCACGTGTGCTTGTCTCTGCTTGTCTACTCAGTTATGTGACTGTCGTCCTAGGTCACTTGTGTTTGTCTCTGCCTGTGCCCTCAGTTATGTGACTGTCGTCCTAGGTCACTTGTGCTTGTCTCCTCCTGTATCCTCAGTTATCTGACAGTCCTCCTAGGTCACTTGTGCTTGTCTCCACCTGTACCCTCAGTTATCTGACCGTCCTCCTAGGTCATGTGTGCTTGTCTCTGCCTGTCTACTCAGTTATGTGACTGTCGTCCTAGGTCACTTGTGCTTGTCTCTGCCTGTGCCCCAGGAACTCTGGGTCCAGTTCCCCCCTGCCTAACAGAGCTGGACACACAGTGGGCACTTGGGAAACACGTGCTGATTGATAGCAGATGGCCAAGGCCTGCAGCCCGCCCTGTCCTTCAGGTAGTGTGGCAGAGCTGGGAAGTAGTTTACTTACAGCAGCCTCCAACACTTGGTCACACATAGATGCAAAAGTGGTTTTGTTTATTTAGTCTCCAGGCAATGCTTGGTGTGCCTGTGAACTAAGAGACCCCTCTCAGAACTGTTGTAATCCCCAGAAGGTGTGCTCTGTTAAATGTCACAGAATCCCCTTTCTCCTGAAAGCATACCAGAATCAAGAATGCTTATAGGTCTGTTGGGAAATAGTTTCAGGAAGAACCATAAGAAGTGGTTGTTCTGTGATGTGTCTGTCTCGCCCATGAGGTCGTGGCTTCCTCTGTGGCCGGGCCTTGTGCCTGATTCATCTCTATGTCCCCAGTGCCTGTGGTGAGGCCCACCCCATGGCTGCCACTCAGTGGATGCCAAAATGAGCAGGTAGGAAATGGATGAGTGGTTTTGGGATTATGCTCGTCTCAGAAATGATTTTCATTGGCTATAGTGATAAGTATTGTAGCTTTAACTTGGAGGAACTCAGCTCATGGTCTGTAGCCAAACAGCTCGTGTCAGAAGCAGGTGGCAGAGAGTCTGGTCTCTGCTTCCTGCAACTATGACCTGGGCCAGTTGCCTACCCTCTCTCCGCCTCGGTTTCCTCACCTGTGGAATGGGGGTTACAAAGCCCCTTTTGCCTAAATCATAGGCTCGTTGTGGGAGCAGCAGGAAGCACATTGAAAACGACATGGTCTCATATAAAGAAAAAAGTATTGCTGTAATCTCTTCTTGTTTGGGAAGCATTTTGAGTTCCTTAGGAATAAAACATTTCTTGGAAAAAAGTAAAGTATTGATTGACGGTATTCATGAGAGATTTTCATTGACGAAGCAATGTTCTGCTTTGTTAAATTTCTATTTCATGTGTTGTTTGGTGGGAAAGAATTCTCTTAGGTCATTACTTCGCCTGCTTGTTGGTGGAGAGACCCTTTCTCTGAATCCAGAGAGGGACTTGTTTCTGCGACTCCAGTGCCCTGCGGGCTCCTTTCCTCACCGTTGCAATGTCATGTTGGCCTACTGCCTGTTTTTAGTCTCCTCTTTCTGGTAGGAGAGTTGTGCTATAAAGAGAAGGAGAAAAATGGGGTGGGAGAGAGCGGGGGAGTGGAGATCAAGAGAAATTTTTGTTTTGTTTTAAGATAGAAGAAATAATAGCATGTAGAGAGCAGTGGAGAGGGAAGAACTGATGATCTGGAGCAAGAAGCAGAAGACGTCGTTGAGGGGGTGGGAGGGGTTGGGGTTCCGTGCACACAGGCCATTGCGTTGCTCTTTGTCCAGTGGCCTTGCAGGGTGGGGGCTGGGGCAGCAGACTTCTCAGGTGCAGGCACTAAGGGTGCATTGTCTTTAGAGAATTTAAAAGCAATAACAACAATTAAAGGTTGGTCTGTTTTTTATGATCTCCATGAGCTGCCAATTCTAGACAATATCAATGATAAAAATACTGCGTGCACTGGGGTGGACCTCTCCTGCTGATCCCCCACCCCACAAACAGACAGCTTCTGTGCCACTGCTTGTGCCAACCCTCCTACCAACAGGAGTGATGCCGGGTGGATGGGCGAAGGTGCCGGCGGGTTGACGGGTGTGGTGGAGGAAGCTCGTGGAGGGTGTCTTCTGGCTGCTTCAAGTGAAAGAGGAAGCAAGGTCAGCAGCTGAGGGTGAGGATGGCGGTGAGGGGAGAGGAAGAGGTCTGAGATCTTTGTTCACCATCCACAGAGAGCCAGTGGCCTAGAGACCTTGTGTGATTGCTAGGCAGTGTTAAGAGTCCCCGTGAGGCTAGTGATGGTGAGTGTTGGGGACCAGGCAGTGTGGGTGCAGGTTTTCAGCTGTTCAGCTGGCGGGTGAGGGCACGTAGTAGGTGGAGGGTTGGAGTGAGTCAGTGCCTACTGGGTTCCCACTGCAGTGTAGGCACGTTACTTGCATTTCGTATTTAATTCCAGCAACCAAGAGGTTATGACTACCTCTCTAAGGCCACCCAGCTTTACAGCACTTAGGGCCTGGGGTTGGAAGACTAATTTGGGTTTGTCTGGCTTCAAAGCCATTGTCCTTGGGCCGGCCCCGTGGCTTAGCGGTTAAGTGCGTGCTCTGCGCTGCTGGCAGGCTGGGTTCGGATCCTGGGCGCGCACTGATGCACCGCTTCTCCAGCCATGCTGAGGCCGCGTCCCACATAGGGCAACTAGAAGGATGTGGAGCTATGACATACAACTACCTACTGGGGCTTTGGAGGGAAAAAAAAAAAAAAAAAATAAGTAAAATCTTTGGGCCGGCTCCGTGGCTTAGCGGTTAAGTGCGTGCGCTCTGATGCTGGCGGCCCGGGTTCGGATCCCGGGAGCGCCCCGAGGCACCACTTCTCCGTCCAACGCGAGGCCGAGTCCCACATACAGCAACTAGAAGGATGTGAACCTATGACATACAACTATCTACTGGGGCTTTGGGGGGAAAAAAATGAATAAAAAAAACTTTTAAAAAAAAAAAAAAAAAAAAAAGCCATTGTCCTTTCCGTCATACTACTTCTTCTTTTAGTGTAGATGAAAACAAAACAAAAACAAAAAAACCCCTAGCTTTTAATTGTTATTGGTTCCTAAATTTAGTATTCCTATATGTGCCTATAATTATTTTATCAGACTCCAAAATGAAGGTTTTTGTTTCCGTTATAGCTTCCTGCCTAGTATAATGGGGCGAACATAATGGACTATTAGTAAATATTTGTGAACGGTGATAATGCTTTAAATAGGTATTAAGTGGCTTAAAAAAGCAACAGATTCCCATCCTTCCTGTTCTTAGTTCCTGTGCCAGCCAGTGAAAGGTGTCTTGGCTCTTGAGAAATGCTATTTTGATCAATTTTCCCTTGCACCTAGTTGGAGGGAGTCTAGCTAGAATACTTAATTGCTGCCAGTGCTATTCATCATTTGAGGTTGGATTTAATTTTTCAAGTTCCATGTTCATTTTTTACTTTACCGTGTTGATATTGGAATCGGGGCTGTCGAGTAGATTTGGGTAACAGGATGGTCCGTATTAGAAACTGCTCAGCAGGACTGAGGTTTTAAAATAGTGAAGAAAGAATTTTCTGGCAACTGGGGCCACTTGAAGTTAGAAGTGAGCTGCCTGGCCATGGAAGTGTCCATGAGAGGGACACAGTCTGTTGGAGGCTGGTGACTGCTCAAAAGGGCAGCCTTCAATATTTTTCATTGGCAATTGGAAGTAATCATTGTTTTTGTGAACATGAAATAACATGTTTGGTTTTTTCTTTTTTGCAGAGAACACAGCCATCTTCATGTGTAAATGTTGCAACCTTTTCTCACCAAATCAGTCAGAACTCCTGTCCCACGTTTCTGAGAAGCACACAGAAGAAGGGGTTAATGTTGATGAGATCATCATCCCCCTTAGGCCTCTGAGTACTCCTGAACCCACCAACCCAAGCAAAACCAACGATGGTAAGGGGACTGCAGTGCTGGGTGAGGGCACCATGCCCACAGATGTGCCGGTTGGTGATAATGATGCTGATTTGCTCTCAAATACTTTGAAGCTAGGTTTCTGTTTGGTGGGCGTGGAAACCTAAGAAAGCCAAATTTCCAACACAGAAGTCACCAATAATTGTCTGATTGTAGATCTGCTCAAATAAGGTTGTGTCTTTGGATTCCTTGTACCTGGTCCCTGAGTGTGCTTCTTCAATGCCTGGTGGGTGGGTGGGT